TGTATTTAGTGAGTGACGTGACCTGGGGTCCGCCGCTCGGTGTGTTGATTCCACTCAACGTGGCGGGGAGGACGAAATGCTCTATTGAGTTTATCGTATAGCTCTAGGGGAATATCTTGTCGACGAGAGCTCGTGTCTTCTGTCCTTTCTACATCGGGAAGGGAGCTTGACCCGGAATTGCTCACAACCTACCAATAGCCTGAATGCACCAAAGTAGGAACTATTTTCTAGAAGCTCCTACAATATGACGGTGTTGTATGAACGTGCAAATGCTTACGGATCTATTGCGACCCATGACGAAAGATCACGTGATCAGCCAGTCGGTCTACGTCATATCATCTTGCTCCAATAATCCAATTATGGAACAAGCTTCTACACATATAAGCATGACATCCAAGAGGCCAAGCCTACTTCCCCATCACAAGAAATCTCAAGTCAAAGCCAAGCACCCAAAGTTTACAAGCAATGTCGAAGCAGAATCATTCAACCACTCAAGCTTTCGAAGAGCATCCCGACACCATTTCGCCCGGACCAAAGGACGGAGAGCATCCACAGGACTTGCGCTCTCGCCCTAATGACGCCCGTAACGACCACCAAGCTGCCGAAAGCGGCTTAAACGATGTCGAATACCCTCCTCAACTACATGCTGGTAAAGTCGGACTAGGTCCCCATTACGCCGAACAGAATCGTCCGGTGAGTACATTCCTGATCGAGGGCCCCACTCGGCATCCAGGTGGCCAAGTTTATATCCCTTCAACTGACTGCTTACCTATAGACTGTCGGAGAGCAATTCCAAGGTATCAAGGAGACACTCAAAGGAAAGATCACCCATAACCCTCAGCTCGAGGAGACTGGTCATGAGCGTATCACAGGGGAGTTGAAACGCCGGGAGCGAGAAAAGGTACGCTTGCCGCTTCTAATCGGGTTCCAATACTAATAGAGACTATAGGGCGATCAAAACCCATTTGCAAACAAAGACGAGGACGATAAACAAGAACAATCTCCGGATAACAAGAATGATGTCAACGCTCAATAGGTATAATACGTTGCGGGACAGTGAGATGTATATTAGCAGCAGTGGATTAATGTACAAATCGAATTAAAGCTACTAAAGAACAGTTAGATCCTTAAACTTTGAGACGAGAATCGTCACCAGAGTAAGACGCCAAATGTGGTCCCGATGTTCTCGACTATTCGTCCTCATTGTGATCACTTTCAGATTTCTCGATTCCTTCTGGCGCTCCTAGTGATCGAAGAAAGCTGATAAAGACCCATGTGTTGCCGCTCATCTCGGCGTCGTACCAATAATTTACCGCAATTACTTTGCCCCGGTTATCAGGAACCTGTTGAACATAGTGCCACCATCCAACAGGTAGATAGAGCATCTCTCCTTCTTGGACAAGGACCGTCATTGGGCGTGTATGAGGTGGCGGGTCCGTTGGGTCGCGAATGGATGACCACCGAACCGACTGCCCTAAAGTAGGCTCTAGTTTCATCCCATTTCCAGAGTGATCACGAGCCCACCGAGCGTGTGGGTATTCCTTTTCTATAGATAAGGAAAGATGTAAGTCGCAGCATCTGAGTTCACGACTATCCCCGACCTTGTAGACACCACCCCTCGGTCGGCGGGAATAGTGTAAAGAGTTTGGTTCCCCGTATGACAGCATAGATATTTTCGTAGGGATCTAAACATTACGGTTGAGGTTTTAGAGGATAGGCGCTAGGTACACTTACCGCTATGCACACTCGTCACACTTCTATGGTTTCCTATCCATATGTTGACTGCGTCTGGTTTTTTGTCTGATTTGATTGACCATCAGTGACTACATATAGGGATCACCAGGGACATCTCACCTAGAGCTTCTGATGCCCAGCTGATCTCTGGAGGATAGTCTTGCTGGATTCCGATAAACTCTGTTTGCTTGTTATCAGTTGATTGTCGTAGATTGTCATTTTGAGACTGCAGGTAGACGACCTCGCTGTGCTCTCTCGTTGCGGATGCGCTACCTGTGACCTAGTTCTGGTAAATTATCTCCCCAAAAGTAGTAACAATAAATCTAGCCTGGTGATAGTCGTAATAAGAGCTCTTCCATGGTCATAGTTTCTACAAGTGGCTCGGCAAAATAAGTGGTCCCATCTTCATCTTCTACAAGGGCATCCGCCCGCCTATCAGATATGAGTCAGATAGATTCTGAGAATAATTCCTGACCTACCCATCTGGGGTGACTGCCACAGAAACCTCACCAACTGCTGATGCCAAGTACTCATCAGTCCAGGGTACCCGGAGAGGGAGTGGGCAATCTAATAGGTCAATCATCCATAGAGTCACCACTAGGAATATTCGACCGACTTTTGAATAAGATAGGTCTCGACACGTGCACCATCCTCGCAAATTCTAGGGCAGTAGGTGGCCCAACCCGTACATCATGGTGACTCTCATTGAGATCTAAGCAGGTACCTTTGTTAGAGTCTATTCAATGAGATATCCTGGTCAAATTATTCACCTTGGTATTCTTGGAGTAGTCGGAGTCGGGTGGTCATTTGCCTCTCAATGTTCACCACCCGCAATCTCTTCTACTTGAAGATATCAAAGGACATTGTCCTGCCGCTGCATTTATACTTGGATCAGCAACATGTTCACTGGATGCAAGATTATACTCTCATGCAAGTACTCCGGGACCTGAAACCCTTGCAAGTATTATAGTACGCGAACCATTTGCACGAAGGTTAACCATTGTCAGGAAGAATAGCTCCCAAGATGGCATTAGAAGGAGATGAACTTTTTGAAATGGGCTCAAAGAACCCAAAGGCCTCAGTCGACGTCGTTCAGGGTGGTAGGGTCCTCCTGCCTGCTCAGATGGCCGAAGAACTGACCGAAGCCATTACTAAGAGGGATACCAGTTTGCCTTTTTCTTTCGCAAGATGGAGCCACATGGTATCCTCATAAAGGTCCATATTAGCTGTATAAATTGGAAGAGATTCTGACATTTAACAGTCGAGACAATTTAGAATGGTACCACAAACAGTCATTGAAGACTTATCTGGAAGTCGAGCGCCTGACAGCTCTGCACAGAAAAGACGTTCAAATGCAGGCAAAAGAGGGAAAAAGCGAGCAAGGACTGTACAGAGCGATGAGGACGAAGAGATGCTGGACAACTATGCAGAACGGCCAACTAGCCGACGAAAATTACGGAGGATAGGCAGTGCAAGTCACAGAAGAGATGAACAGGACGATATCGAAGTGGAAGAGGAATCTGACAAAGACTCTACTTACTTGCCTGAGCCCGTAGAAGGGTCTCATCCGATAACGAACGACGCGCATATTGCAGTAAAACAAG